TAGAGATTAATTCTAATGTTTCCTGGTTAATTTTCTGTCTGGATCATCTGTCCTTTGCTGAAAGTGGGGTGTTAACATCCCCAACTATTATTGTGTTTGAGTCTATTTCTCCCCTTAGATGTAATAGTAATTGCTTTATATAACTGGGTGCTCCAGAGTTGGGGGCATATATATTTAGAATTGTTATATCCTCTTGTTGAATTGATCCCTTTATTATATAATTACCTTGCTTTTCTTTTTCTACTTTCCTTGGCTTGAAATCTATTTTATCTAAGTATAGCTACTCCTCTCTTTTGGTTTCCATTTGTATGAAATATCTTTTTCCGTCTCCTCACTTCCAGTTGGTGTGTTCTTTGTAGGTGAAGTGAGTTTCTTCTAGGCAGCATATTGAAAGTTCTTATTTTACAATCCATTGAGCCACTCTGTGTCTTTTTTTTTTTTTTTTTCCCTTTTTGTCTTTTTTTCGTGTCCGGCAACGGATCGCAACCCTCAGTGTCGCGCCCGTACCGGACTGGGACCGGCAACGGGATCGCAACCCTCGGTGTTGCTCCCACACCTCGCTCAGCCAGTGAGCGGGAACCAGTCTGTATGTGGGATCCGAACCCTCAGCAGGAGCGCCACGGCACTCCCAAGCGGCGCACTGTAGCAGTGCGCCACCGGGCCGGCCCACACTCTGTGTCTTTTAATTGGGGCATTTAATCTGTTTACATTTAGAGTTACTATTGATATTTAGGGACTTGTTACTGCCATTTTGTTCCTTTTTTTCTGGTTGTTTTGTTTATCCTTTTTTCCCTTTTTTCCCCCCAATTTTACCATCTTCCTTTATTTGACTTTGATATCTAAGAAAAAAAACAAAGCTAACTCTACACTTTGGCATCATTCCCCCCAACTTTTTGACAATTTATTTTTTCAAGTTACATATTTTAATATTCCTGTCTCTCATATAGCTGTTTTATATGTTAGCGTCTTGTTAGGTTTGTTCTTTAGTCTTCATACTAAGGATGTAAATGGTTTATTCACCACCCTTTTGACAGCGGGGTATTCTGAGGTTGTCTTTGAACTTACTTTACTAATGAATTATGTACTTTCAGATGTTTTCTTGCTGCTCCTTAGTGTTGTCTTCTTTCAGATTGAAGAACTTCCTTTAGCATTTTTTGTAATGCAGGTTTATCATTGATGAATTCCCTTAGCTTTTGTTTGTTTGGGAAAGATTTATTTCTCCTTCATATTTGAAGGTTAGTTTTGCTAGATAGAGAATTCTTGGCTGACAGTCTTTTTCCTTCAGCACCCTGAATATATCCTATTCTCTTCTGGCCTGTAGAGTTTCTACTGACAAATCTGCTGAGAGATGTTTTGGGACTTTGTTGAATGTTATGAGTTTCTTTTGCTGCTTTTAGTCTTCTTTCTTTGTCTTTGGTTTTTGATAATTTGATCATGATGTTCCTGGGGGGTGTTCTTCCTTGGATTGATTTTGATGGGTAACCTCTGAGCTTCCTGTACCTGGATGATGTCATCTTTCTCTGTACTTCAGAAATTTTCAGCCATTATTTTCCTGAATATACTTTCTACATCTCTTCTTTTTTTTCTCCTTTGGGCATGCAAATTATGTGGAGGTTATTTCACTTGAGGGAGTTCAAAATTTGCTGTATTTCTGTTACATTTTTTCTTATTCTTTTTGCTTCTCTGATTTGATAATTTCATATGTTCTATCTTCAAGCTCACTGATTCTTTCCTCTGTTTAAGTCTGCTGTTTGAGCTTTCTATTGATTTTTTCATTTCGGATAATGTATTCTTTATTTCTAGAATTTCTCTTTCTCTCTCTTTTTTTTTTTTTTTTTTGTAAATTGATTCAGTTTCTTTGTTGAGTTTCTCATTTTGCTCCTGGATTGTTTTCCAGATATCATTTAATTTTCTATCCATATTTTATTGTGACTCCTTGAACATCCTTAAGAGGGTTATTCTGAATTCTCTGTAAGACATTTCATAATTCCACTGTACCTGTAGGTCCATTGCTGATGTTTTGTTTGTTTCCTTTGTTGGTGTCATATTTCTCTGTTCTTTTTCAATCTTTGTGTCTTTATGTTGATGTCTGGTCATTTGAGGAGACTGCTACCTCTTCTAAGTTTTATATGTGTTCTTTGATGGTATTAGACCTTTACTGGTTAATATCAGAGCTTTGTGTCTGGGTCTGTGGTTTTGGTTAATTCCAAAATTGGGGGAACTTCCTGTGGGGAACAGAACTTGAGCTCTGTGCTTGAGCTAAATTGCTGTTTTGCTGCTGATTCTCTGGGAAAGGTCTTTTGTGCAGACTGGATTTTAATTGTTGGCTTTTTAATCAGTCCCAGATCTTGTGAGGTTAGATACACCTGGGCTATGTGGAAATTCTGGCTCAGGACTGAGTCATTCCAGGACTCTATGCCCCCCGAAGTTCTGTAGCCCTTACTAGTCTCCACTAAATGGGCCTGTGCTGATTGGAAGGTAGACCAGCTGCCCATGCTGCACCCCAATGTTCTCACTGGCCTCTAGGTGGTTCCTTTTCTCAGTTGGCTGTGGACTCTGCTCCTGTGTGGGTCCTCAGAACTCTGTCAGTGGTCCTGCTGGCTGGGGGGCTGGTATGGTGTGCTTCGAGGTCCTCTTCTCCCCTGCAGACTTCAGGCAACTTCACACAAAGGGCTCAGCTTTGGCTTTTGCTGGCTACTGCTCTGTGTGCTGCAGTTTCTTCCTGCCTCTTACAAAGCCATCCCTGAAGTGGCTGGGGCTTGAAATGGTCAGAGTGGTTTCTTCTTCCTCTTCCTGCAGCTTCTCCCACCTTCACAAACACTGCAGGTCTCTCCTCCTCTTCCCCTGAGCTCCAGCAGTTCCACGTTGGCAGTCTTTGCTTCCTAATAGCTGTAAATCGGTCAACTGTGGGGGATAATGGCACTGGGGATTGTGTATTCCACCAGCTTGATGATCTAAAGTATCTTATTTTTGTTTCATGGACTTGAGACTTCATTGACATTCTTCTCTTAAGTATATCAGTGATATTTATTTATTTATTTTTATAAGTTTAAAGGAGATGGCATGATAGTTTTCATTTTAAAAGTTTTTCCTTCCTACCCAGTCTTTCTCCTCTGAGGTATATATATATATATATAATTTTCTTTTCTTTTCTTTCTTGGTCTCTAGTTTTCTTCAGATTTCTGGTGGTCCTTGGTTGCTGCTCATATTTAAGAGTGAGACACTACAAGTCTCCTTAGAAATTTGTTGATCGTGATTTCTTGTAGGATTATTTAGGTGGGTCATTTTCTTTTCTTTTCTTTTTTTTTCTTCTCTTTTTTTGAGAACCTCCAGTGTCCAATCTCCTGCCTAGAGATTGTCAGCCAGTGTTCTGGAATCAAAACAGGTGAAAAGGGCTTGATATTTCTTGGTATTCAACATATAAATATTTACTTAGCCTTTGTTTCTTGTATAATATTCTGCCTTCAGCCTTGCTTTGTGCCCTTTAGTGCAGAGTCTCTGTTTTATCCTGTCCAGAGACTAAACTTCCAGCCTTGAGGCAAGGGAAGGGCAGGGGTGAGGGAGAGAACCTCTGGAGTCAGTTAACTACCTGCTAAGTGTGTATATGGGGTTTGAGATCTAGTAATACTACTGCTACTTATACAGACTTTCATCCAGTCTTCCTGTTTTTAACTCCACCTTCACCACACCTTCTGAAGTTTCTTTGTAACTCTAATCCTTAAGCCTTTTTGGAGGTTGGCAGTATATAGGTAGTTTTTTTTAATTTTCCCATTGTCAACTTTGGATTCAGCTTTACCAGTTCTACTAAGTAGGTTATCATTCACCCATCTGCTCTTTAGTTTTGAAAATTTTGTTGCCTCTATGTCTTCCATTTTGGGGTTTATGCCTTTTTAAAAACTATTGTTTTAATAGGTTTGTTGGAAGGACCAAAAATAAATATGGTGTTTAATTCATCATCTTTATCTGGAAGCTTTCTTGTTTTATTATTTTTTATAGTTGCAGAGCATTCCATTAGATGAATATGCTAGCTCCTTTTCTGATAAACACTGCAGTTATTTCCAACTTTTAGTTGTTACAAACAGTGTTACAGTTAATAACATTAACATAGTGCACATGTAAAAGTAATCTATCAGATTTTTCTTTACAGATATGCACAATTTTTATTATGAAAGATACTGTCAAGTTGTTTCTCCAGAGATTGTTGACAGTTTACATTCCTACCAGTAATGTTTGAGAGAGTCTGCTTTTCCACACCCTTTTGATCTCTGCTGATGTGATGAAGAAAGATATCTCAACATAGCTTTAATATTCAGTTCTCTTATTACAAGTGGGATGGAGCATTTTTTCATATGTTTAAGAGCTATTTATATTTTCCTTCCTGTAAACTATCTCTTTATCTCCTTTGCCTACTTTTCTACAATATTGTTGATCTTTTTTATATTTCATTATAGTAAAATGTTATTTAAAAAATTATCCTGTAGTCTAAGATATGATTCCTACATATTATTTATGGGTGTTTTGATTACCATTTGGTTTTGTTTCTGATCTTTTTTTCCTCTGAGTCTGTGTTCTTAGTCTCTAGCAGAACTTTTAAAGCATTTTTATGTGGTTAAGTATATTAGTTTTCTTCTTTTATGATTTATTGATTTCGTATAATACTTGGAAAGGTCTTCCACCCCTTGAGAATATTAAAAATCATGGTTTCTTTTAGAACATATATAATTTAACTTTTATATTTAAATATTTGATTCATTTTGACTTTCTCTTTGTGTAAACTGTGAGATATCCAACTTAGTTTTTCCCCAGATGGCTGCCCAATTGTCCCAACATTATTTATTAATTAAACTCCCTTTTTCCTTCTATTTTGAACTTCCCTTTTTATCATATATGTTCTATTTACAATCACAAACTTTTTCTGTGTTCTTTAAAGAAAGTATAAATCCAATTATAAGGCAAATGGATTATATTGAAATCATTTACTTGTTATTTTTACATTATAGGAAAAAATACAAGGAGAAAACTATTCATCTGTGAACATAAATACTCAGAATAAACTGAAACATCTCCATGCAGATAGTATTGGTGGAGGTACCAAATCAGAAGATAAGGATAAAAGCCAGTCTACACAGCTTCAGAGTTATGAATCCTGTGGAGTTATGTGTAAAGCGTGTGCAAATGATGACCTAATGAAGAACTTGTCAAAGAGTGCAAATCCAGTTGATGAGTGTTATAGGGAGAGTGGGCAAAATAAGACTTTACATAAAGCCAATTCAATATGCAAACAGAACTTACATGAAGAAATGACTTTTGAAAAAAAGAATTTTGTTTCTCAGTCAAGGTATAGTTTAATAATTGTTTGTAACTTTTATTTATTCAGCAAGCACTTATTGTGCACTTCTGTGTGCCACACTGTTAAGCACTGGGGATATAGAAATGGTAAAACATGACAGGCTGGCCGGTTGGCTTAGTTGGTTAGAGCATGGTTCAGAGTTCAATCCCTTATACCAGCCAGCTACAAGAAAATAAAAAAGATAAAACATGGTCTTGTGAGGAGTATAAAGTAGGAAATGTTGGGAAAGAAGTTTGGATGGGAAGATATGGACCAGTTTGTCTAGGGCCTTACATGTCGTACTCAAGATTTTTGGTTTTGGGCCGGCCCGGTGGCGCACTGCTACAGTGCGCCTCTTGGGAGCGCGGCGGCGCTCCCGCCGAGGGTTCGGATCCCACATACAGACCGGTTCCCGCTCACTGGCTGAGCGAGGTGCGGACGCGCCGCCGAGGGTTGCGATCCTGTTGCCGGTCCCGGTCTGGTGCGGGCGCGACACTGAGGGTTGCGATCCGTTGCCGGTCACGAAAAAAGACAAAAAGGAAAAAAAAAAAAGATTTTTGGTTTTAACTCACAGGCTCCTTTATGGGAGCCACTGAGGATTTTAAATCGAGTGACATAATCAGATTTGAATTTTAGAAAGGATACTCAGGAAAAGGAAACCTAAAGTAAAGCCCTCTACCTGAAGTAACAATGTATGCATTGATAATGCATCAGCAATGTAGCAAAAACCAGTTTGTAAATTTAAAATGATAAATGGAGTAAGACATGATGAAAATCTGGTTTGTACTTGTCCTCTTGTGTGTTCCCTGCACTTTATCTCCAGTACTCATCCTTTATCCCTCACAGGTAGCTTTTCTTCTTAAACCCTTTCTTGTGAGTGCTCTTCTGATGATTACTGTGCTTAGGAAAAATGAAGAGGATGCTGCGATGTTCTGGATAGGTTGCAGGATAAACTCAGTATCAGGAAGATGAATTACACCATCACCACCTCTTTTCTCCTTTCCAAGACCATTCTTGATGTAAATTTTAATTTGATTTCTCAGGGATGTAGAACTGGAAAACAGTGAGATATGCTCTTGGCCAACCTTCTTGCCCTCTGGCTCAAGCCTTCTACCCATACCCTTCTTCCTCCTTTATGGTTAGCCACATTTCTACCTCAGCTGAGTTGTTAATATTTCCATTTCATTTAAATGCCTTTTTCCTTCTATGTAGTACCTCCCACAAATTTATGTAAATGGACAGATATCGATAGCTACTACTTTATCTGTTTTCTGGTTTACAGCTCTTGCCTTTTTTCTGTATTACTTGTCACCATTGTGACAATGTACTAAATACTTACATTTATTCCTCAAGGACCACAGGGTTCAAACACGCAAATGGTTTGGGTGTCAGGAAGGGTTTTTTAATTCAGGTCCTTAAATGATTATTGTTAGTACTTTGCCATTCTGCAATCCATGTTCTTTTTTTCTCCCACTGACTTTGTTCTTTCCTTTATTTTGCCTTCATTCCCAGCTACTTTCTTTTTATAATCCTTTTCTTCCGTGTTTCTGCTGGCATCAATACTATTGCCCTCTGGAGTCTTGTTTAACTGTCGTTCTAGAAACAAGGCTGTAACTGTTGCAGACCCTTCTTTGACAGAATTTAATAGATTTTGGTTGATTGTGGCTCCATTTCCTTCTGCCTGCCAAACACCTAGAATCACACCACTGTTAAGAGAAACATTTGTCAATGCATTGAACAGTATGTTTACTTTTAGTAATCTGGTGTCTATTTTATTTCAGTGACCGTGTTTTTAAGCATCCAACTCAAATTGTCAAAAATAGAAAGGAGTTACCAGTAACAGGTATGATTTTAAATGTTTCTTCTTTGGTTTTTCAAGAAAACTTATATTTAGATGATTGATATAGCTAAAAATGTACATTAATCTATCTGCCCTCTAAAGTATAAACCACACCTTTGACTCTCTTTCTGGTGTAAAGACCTCAGTTACCTTTCACTGCTATCCAGAATGTTTCTGTTTATGCAACGGGATGACTGGATATATACTACTGGGCTAAAGTTTATGAAAATCTTGAGAATTAACAAATCTTATAGATGTCCGGTCCTTTTCATTAATTAAAAAAATTTTGCATTTTGCACTTTTTTCCAGATCCATTTACGTTATGTTCAGACATAATAAATAAAGAAGTCGTCAGTGTTCTAGCAACTGACAGTTGTTCCAAAATGTTGAAGTATAGGTGCTCAGGTAAATATATTTTAAATTGCAGTTATAATTAAAGTTTTATATAATATCAGTTAACTAGAATTTATAATACTTCTACCTTTGTGACTTAAACTTCATTTCCTTTGGAGAAATAATGATCTGGAGCATCAAAGCATTCAAATGAACACCTTCTTTCTACATAAGGCTGAGCTCCCAATATTTGTGTATATGAATCAACACAGTCGATTCCTTTTTTTTTTTTGTTCCTTTATTATTCCCTTTTTTTCACAGTTAGTACCATCTGTAACTTTAACCTTACTGAGTAAAATAAACAGTTATGTTTTCCAGAGCATTAATAAATAGGTATATATTCTGGGTTATGCTCTAAACACTATAGGCATTAAGTAGTAAACAATACCTATTTTTATATGTATAATATATAAATGTTTCTAGTGTTCCATGCCCTATTATTCATTTTTTTCTGCAGGGCCCATGTAAATGTTCCACAGTACTTATTCTATCCCTCCTCCTTCTTCATACCCAGTGTTTCCTCTTTGTTCACTCTTATCTTGCCCTCTGTTCTATAAAGAAAATTGAGATTACTCCACATTCAGCTCAGAGTATCACTGTTCTTCCCTTTTGGATGAAGAGATTATCTCTGTTACTTCTAAAGCTAATGTCTAGCCATAATCTGAATCCCATCTCTTTTTTCTCCCCATTTTAATAATTATGAAATCTTTATCTTCAGTACCTTACTATCCATTAACTCCTTTTATCCCACCTTAGACTATGCTTATTTTTCCTCATCTTAAAAAAAACCCAAATACTTTGTGTGATTTGCTATCCCTTCAAGTATTCATCCACTCTTCCTTCCACCTTTTATTGCCAGATTCCTCTCTTGCTCCCTTCTTTGTCAGTGAATCCATTCCCTTCTTCCGTGGTGTTTATTTGTTTGTTTGTTTGTTTGTTTTGCAGCTGACTGGTACAGGGATCAAACCCTGGACCCTGGTATTATCAGCACCACGCTGTAAACATCTGAGCTAACTGGCCAGTCCTCCTTCCCTTCTTAATTCTCTGAAATCTGGCTTTTCTCTTGCCCTTCTACTAAACTTTATGTTAAAGGTTACCTGTAGCCTCTTCCCCCACTTCAAACCAATGACATTAAAAAAAATTCTTATTCTCTTTAGTATCTCTGCATTGTTGACTACCATTCCTCGAATTCCTTTCCTATCAGGAGTCTAAAGCCACAGTTCCCAAATTGTCCACCTAGGCTCCCTGGGCTCCACAATGAACTCACAAGGGCACTACACAGTATTTTAAAATTTGTAAGGGAAACATAACAATAGTCAACATCCATTGGACACCACATGAACTATTAAGGTAATTCAACTTTCATAGTTTCAACATTAGATTGTACTACTACATTCCTTTTGATGTCATATCTTTGTGAAACTGGGTTTTCAGTGGTTGTGATAAAAAACAAGCACCACATGAAAATCAGTGTAGAACAGGAAATGGGGGTGGCAATGTCCAGTTTGATTCCAAAGTTTGAGAAGTTGTGTTGTCTCCAATAGATGCAAATATTCCATTAGGAAGTAAATGTAATTAATTAAGGTGAAATGCAAATATTATTTTTTCTTTCAGTTTAGTTGTATTTTTTTTTTAAATGGCTACTAAATTGTTAGACCATATACTTATTCAGTTGTTTTAGACCTACCAGAATGGTTAGGCATTTCTTTTGGCCTAAGGGTGCCATGCACCAAGGAAGTTTGAGAACCTTTGTCAAAAGTATTCCAGTTGGCAAGTGAATGCTCTATAACTGTTAACCCCCTTTCATCTCTTAGTTTGTTTGAGGTGGTTCTTTCCTAGTTCCTTTCTTCCCTAGTCATTATTCATTCATTTCACAAACATTATGAAGTGCTTAGTCTATGGCAGGCACTGGGATCAAAGATGGATAGAACCCAGTCCTTAACTTTATTACTTTTCTTTCTCTTCCTGTCAGATTTCTACAGGTATTCTTCCCAAGACATAGTCTACTTCACTTACTCAGCTCGGTCACTACATTTACTTTTGTGGCATCATCTTTAATTGTATTGATGATTTTCAAATCTGTATCTCAACATCTAGCCTCTACCTTGGGCTCTAGCCTTATTCTTCCATTTCCGGCTATACCCAGGACATACCCTCTTTAATATCTTCTTACTACTTCAAGCTTAATGTGACCTAAACACATCTTTCTTCCTCTTAAATTGCCCTCCTCCCCAGCCACCCCATTTCTGTCAGTGTTGTCACTATTCTTCTGGTCTCCCAGACTTTAAGCATTGAAACATCTGTGAGTATTTTCTCTTATTACATCTCCTATTTCTAATCTATCAAATTTGGTTCTTTTTTCTTTTCCACATAGGCCCTTTTGGCTTCATGCCTAAATTACTCCAGCAACTTTCTAGAAGTCTTTCAGTCTCAAGTCTCTCCAACCCCTAACTATAAAATGCATATTACAGTGACTCCTGCTCAGAACCAGACCAAGCTCGTTGCTCCTTTTCTATATTGCCTTAACTCTGTTCACATCTCTAGCCTCACACTTATTTCATTGTATTGTATTTGTTGACTTTACCTCTCATATGACTTTGAACTTCTTGAGGTTTTATAGTTAAGTTCCTGATTTCACTTCAGTTACCATAATATAGATATTTGCTTTCGTAGATTTTGTTATTAGATATTTTGTGACATCTATACATCACTTTAATTTGTTTTCATTTAGGTTGCATGGCAGTAGGAAAATCTCTGAATAGCCGAAATTTTAGCAAGCTCTTGCACTCTTGCTCATACCAGTGTGATCGTCACAAAGTCATTGTGGAAGCTGAAGACAGATATAAAAGTGAACTAAGGAAATCACTTATTTGTAACAAAAGTAATTAATACAGCAGCTTTAAAACTGTAATTATGACTATACCTTCTGAATTAGCATCGAAAGCATTAAGTATTTTAAAAACTACAGAGTAAAATAATGTCAAAAAGAAAATCTGTCTCTAAGCAACCAGTGATTTAAGATATACCCAGGGAATGGACTTAGTTTGTGGTGGTTTAAAAATTCTTCCTAACCCACCTAAGTATTCCCACTAGAAGGGAGAAAAAGGAAGTCTAATACTAATGGAGTTAATATGCTATCACTCAGATTGATACTGTAAGTATTCTAAATATTTTCCATATTTTCCAGAAATTCTGCTGACCCCACGGAGAAGACGACGACTCAGTAATGAATTTACTGCTCCTGGAGGAATAAGTGAATATATTTAATTTTTAAATAAACTTAAATTTCATATTATTCCTGAGAAAGAAGAGAACAGCTGAGTGGTTGTTCTCAGTCTTATCATTAATGGATCTTAAATAATAACCGTTGGCTTTGATGAGGTTCATACATCCTAAGGAAAGAGATTTCCCTCTTCCCTTCATATTGCTTGCTTACTCATTGCCTGTCAGTTGGGGAAGGAGAAGGAGGAAACAAACATTTATTAAGCATCTACTATGTGTTAAGTGTTTTATTGATATTATTTAATTCTTATAATAATATTGTAAGGGAAGTATTATTTTATTCCCGCTTTAAGGCACGATGAGCTGGTAAATAGCAGAACTTAGATTCAAATACAAGCCTTTTTCCAGAAGCCCTTGTTCTATCCTCTGATCACATTTCTATTTTAAGAACAAAATTATTCTCCTATGCCCAAGTGCTTCAGAGAGATTTTACAGGTTTTTGTTCATAACTATAGTGTTTCAACAGTCAAAATTGAAGATGAATAGTATAAACCTTAAAGTCCTGCTAAAAAATCAAAATGCTTCTTAATTAATGTATGGGAATTTTATTTAACTACAGGGTTAATATTTCAAGTTTATCACCATTCCAAACTTACCACAGAGACTTAACAAATATTATCATTTTCTTCTATTCATATGGAGTTATAATACCTGCAGAGTAAGAATAAGAAGTTGAGTACATTACTTGTCAAAATATATCTGGAAATTAGTAACATCTATAGAGTCACCCTGTTATTTATTATAGAGATATTTGGACTTGGTATATCTAGGAAACGTTTTGCCACATACATTTATTTGGCTATTTTCACTGCCAAAACCTTGAAAGAAATTTCAAATTTACTTTTTACATCTGGGTCTTTTTCTAGGTTAAAAGTTCTGCATGCAAATTAAAATTAAGTACAGTACCAATATAGGGGAGCCCGCTTTTTGAAGTAATTTGTTCTGTAGAAACTGTTAGAAAATCAGTATTTTTCCACAGACACGTGTTGCACTTGGAAATCTTGTTCTTGACAAGGACGTGGCTTCAAATTAATAATAAATTTTTTTAAACAACGTTTTAAAAGCAAATATGTAACAGCTAAAGATATTCTATAATCTATTTACATAGTAAAATTATCTGCAGAGCCTCATTAAATGGGCTTACCCGTTATGGTTGTACATTGATTATACATAGGGATCCTTTAACTGTTAAGTGACATTCAGCTCATAAATACTATACATCTTTTTTGTAGATTAGGCTTGCTTTAGCCAAAACATTTAATAATTTGGCCTGCTTTCTTTGAATTTAGAAAGGCATCTTGAGAAAAGTAGTGTTTTGATTGATCTTATATCTCTTTCACAAGTAGGCCAGGAACATTTGGTATGTTGCCATTTTTTCCTCTCTTCATAAATTTCCCTTTTGTATTAGAACATTCAGCACCATTCACTTACCTATAATTTACATTCAAATTCAAGCCCATTCTTTTGAGAAGGGCTCACTCCACTATCTATGCATTTAAAGATTTCTCTGAGGTTCTCTTTCAGGATAGATTGGTATCTTGAGGGGGTTTGAAAAATAAAAATCCCTTCAATTAATTCCTCTTGCCCATTTTTCCCTGCTCTTCCCGAACACCTGATCAATGTTATGAGGAGCATTAAAGAAGCCACAAAGGGGAGCCTTGTGGTATAGAGGACTTCTTCCTTCTTCCAGGCTGCCCAGTACCGTGCCATAAGAACCTTTGAGGATTTAAGTATAGGAGTCAGGAAGATAGCAGCTGCAGTGGGAAAATGGGGCTTTTTACGTGAACAGCTCCAGGTCCTCAATATTCTCAAAGTTATAATAACCTACCCAGTCCTGATTATAATGAGTTCAAATCATTTAGCAAGTGTAGTCGAAACCTTATTCTTGGATAACTAGTTTTCCTGTGGGCCCAAAAGTAAGGATTAACTTCATTGATAAATTTTGAGAGTTTTGCCCACAGTTATTTTTTTCTCTCAACAAATATTTATTGATAACCTACTGTGTGTCAGATACTATTCTAGACACTGGGGATACAGTGGTAAACAAAGTAGACAAAGGTCTCTGTCCTTGCAGAGTTGTCTTTTAAATAATACTATTAAGTAATAATCAGACATTATTTACATGGACTTCTCAGCATTTTGCTGGTGAGATTTTCTCTTCTGTTTTAAAAGGTCTATATGGTGGCTCTTATCTTAGGAAAAGTGGAAAAATGGCTAGTAGTCTTGGCCTGAAAGGCAAGATTTTCTAAGGGTGACCCAGCACTACTATACCTGGTCCTACCAAAGTAAATAGCAGCATAAAGTGGAAATACAAAAGCTCCTCCTTACCAGCATTTACCTACAATGATGAGTTAACAATGAAAGAAAAAGCTTATAAAAAACTATCTCCCTGTAACCATCGCCAGAAAATATTTATGTTTACAGATACCAACTGTATATTCTTTCTATTATAGAAAGTATCCTTAAAACACCACAGTTAATAACTTCTCTCCCATTGTGCAGCCTACTTTTTTGTTTTGATCTAGCTGATTGTTTTTTAGTGAACACATTTTTTTAAAGCGAATTTCAAAAGACCCTTATTCTTAAAAATATTAATCAAGGCTGATATTTTAACAAGTATTGATATTCTTTTCTATTTTATGAAGTTATGGAGTCCTTTGGGAAGACTGTATCTGTAAGATAGGTAAGCTGTTTGTTAACTGTCCTCACAGGAAAGCTGAATTAACAATTGAATGTTTATATAAACTTTTTTTTTTATTGAAAGATGTTGCAAGTATTATTACAATAGATTAATTTCATTTATTGAAGAAGTCACAATGATAGTACCTAACTTAATAATAAGCACTCACGTTTTTTAAATTGAAGTGGATTTCCATATGATGGATAGCCCAGGCATAAAGTTAAGCACTTATTTGGATCTCAAGAAGACCCCTTTTTTCAGCGAGTACTAATATTCTACAATTCTCATTAATTACAGAAAAAAGAAGAGTTCGTAAAAACTTTACTGAAGAAGAAGTGAACTACCTTTTCAATGGAGTTAAGAAAATGGGAAATCACTGGAATTCAATTTTATGGTCTTTCCCCTTTCAGCAAGGACGGACGGCTGTGGATCTTGCACACAAATACCATAAGTTGACCAAACGCCGCAAGTGTGCATCTCCTTGATTGGAAGAAGACTTTGTCAGTTTTTTGTTTGGACTCTTAAAATGCAGTCCTTTGAAAGATAAAAAATTTTGAATATTCTTCTAAACTCTCACAAAACAGAGAATGTGGAAATGAGGGTGCCGTTTTAAACAAACAGTTTTTGTGGTTCTGGAACTCATTAAATTATTATAATTTATAAAGCACATACATTATCAGTGTGCAGATTAAAAAGATAAAAGTCCTTCATAAAGTCAAACATTTAGGAATGTGCTTTTATTTTTCCTTAAGCTCAAAGAACATAGCTCAAAAAAAAAAAAATTATCAGCCTTTAAATATTATTTGACATTATACTGCAGTGAATACTATGTAAGACATTTGGATTTTAGTCTTTTTGCCCAGGTCCAAAGTCCCTCCCCTGAACCCAGAAAGAGAGAAGTTTCCCAGGCTGTTCAGCTGCGGGTCCCACAGACTAAATCAATGTTTGACACTTTCTTTAATTAAAATGTTTCCTCTTCTAAAGGCTAATTGTGCAGTTGCTTTGAATATTCCTTTATTCTGTGGTCAGGATCATTTCTTTTTGGTGTATGTGGTTTGCTTTCGCCTTTTTAAAGTGTCTATTACTTTGCCCTCCTCTCTCTCTCCATCTTTAATTCTTCATGCTGCTGAGCCGCAGCTACTTCACAGTGTCATCCTCCCTTGTGAACACCTTTCATTTGTAAATGTGTCCAAAGAGAAATGTGACCCTAAGAAATGTGGCCTGACTGGCAGAGTAGAGGTTCAGCCTCATTGCTAGGCCCAATGAGGTTTTATGAACCCTACCTAAGATGCTTCTTGGCATTTTACATGACCGATGCTCAGATTACAGTTAATATAGTTACGTCTCTTAGATTATAATTTATTATTTACAAGTAATTCCTACCCTATTCTTATGCTTTTTTGTTAAACCCCACTGCAGGACTTTAGTAGTCCCTATTAAATTAATTTTCTTAGATTTGGTCTGTGCTCAGTTTGTCATCCAAGCAACCTCCTGCTTCAGGTCATCCACAACTTGAGTGCTGCTGCATTCTCATCCAAGTCACTGACGGCATCCTGAATTGGCTGCGCCAGGGCGGGAGGTTGGGACAGGCCCCTAGAGGTCTCCTCTTGTGGTGCCTGCTCCTCATTAGCCCCCTCTGGGCCTGGTCTTTAACAAGCCTCAATGCTGTTATCCAGCCTACATTTCATTTTCGTGTCTGTGATGTGAATTGTCAAATATCCCGTTGAAATCTGCATTCGCTATGTCTGCAGCATTCTCCTACCTGGTATTCCTACAAAAAAGAAAACTGTAAATCTAGTGCTGTCTTTTCCTTTTCTGATTGATCACATTAAAAATTTTCACCTAGTGCTGATTTAGCTCACTGGCCTGTAATTTTCAATTCCATCTTTTGTGAAAATTCAGACATTGCTTGCCCTTTTATGCCATCCAACACACACTTTACCTGCTCTTCTGAGACTTCAGGGGTGTAACTTCTAACGGGTTTCACTTCCATTGTCTTGCTTAAACTTTACATCCAGGCTGGCACATTTGTTGGATCCTGTAATTCATGCTGCCAAATTTTTGTCAGAGCCAGTATCACAATCCTACTCATCTGAAACCTACTTAGGTGGTTGCTTTTCTGTTATATCACACTTCCTTGTGATATTTAGAAATGCCTTGTAAAGTTAGCCTGCTTCCATAACAAATAGCAAGAGGCTGGCCAGTTAGCTCAGTTGATTAGAGCCCAGTGTTGATAACACCAAGGACGAGGGTTCAGATCCACATACCAACCAGCCGCCAAGAAAAAAAAAAAGAAAAAGAAAAAAATAGCTAGACCTGTTTGATAGGTGGAATGTATTTTTTCTTTTTCTTCTATTACCCTCTCCCTTCCCTTCGTCTTGCCCTTTCAAATCTCTTTCCCTTTTCTCCTCCTCCCTGCGCCAAGAAAGGAAATTAGTCTCTTATTCTGGTGTCAAATGCTGACTCCCTGAAAATATTATTTTTAAAAACCTGTTAATATAGCCTGACAAAGACAAAACGAAATATTAAAAAATGGGAAAAAAAAAACCCTGTTAATAAAGCAAAGCCAAGTGTATTGTTCGCTGCGGGGAAGATCACTACCTCACAATTTTATTAGGGTCTATGAAGGAAGAGGCGAAAAGAGGGATATTTATGAGGATTTTGTGGGGTTTTTTTTTGTCTTTTTTCGTGTCCGGCAACGGATCGCAACCCTCAGTGTCACGCCCGTACCAGACCTGGACCGGCAACGGGATCGCAACCCTCGGTGTTGTGTCTGCACCTCGCTCAGCCAGTGAGCGGGAACCGGTCTGTATGTGGGATCCGAACCCTCGGCAGGAGCACCGTCTCGCTCCCAAGCCAAGCGGCGCACTGTAGCAGTGCGCCACTGGGCCGCCCCGGATTTTGTGGTTTTAAGCGCGCTCTTTCGATGCAGGGCTAAATTAGGATTAAGCAAAATTCATGAGATCGCAACCCTCAGTGTTGCACCCGCACCTCGCTCAGCCAGTGAGCGGGAACCGGTCTGTATGTGGGATCCGAACCCTCGGCAGGAGCACCGTCTCGCTCCCAAGCCAAGCGGCGCACTGTAGCAGTGCGCCACTGGGCCGCCCCGGATTTTGTGGTTTTAAGCGCGCTCTTTCGATGCAGGGCTAAATTAGGATTAAGCAAAATTCATGATATAGTAGTATAAGACTGGAAGTACCGGGATGCTACCTACTAGCACTGGGTCCTTGGACGAGTTTCTTAAACTCTCTAAGCTTCAGATTCCTCATCTGTATAAGGGACAGATAAGATTCTGTGAGATAATGTGCGATTGTGGCACATGGTGAGCGCTAGGCAAATGGCGCTTTGTGCATCAGTCTCATTCCAAAGTCTGGGCTTTCGCCCTCAGATGAAAGTCCGGAATGAAGAAATACATAGGTGCAGAAAGATTAGTGGTTGCTTAGGGCTGGGGACAGGGGTGGGAGTGAGGGGTGATAGCTAAAGGATACAGGGCTTCCTTTTGGTGATAAAAATGTTTTAAAATTGACTGTGGTGATGATGGCACATATCTATGACCATATTAAAAACACGCCGGCCGCCGCCTCCACGCGCATGGCTGCCCCAGCGGCCGCCTGACCGCCGCCCACCACCGCGGCGGCCTCGCGGCCCGTGGGAACCCGCGTATATCGCCCGCCTGGCGGGCACGTTGGGCGGTACGAAGCCTGCGACGCGGGCGGCAGGCAGCGCGGTGCTGGGCCGGCGGGTCGCCCGGTCGGGGTCCTCGCGGGTCCTCGGCGGCCCGGGGGAGGGCCCTCTTTGTGGCTGCAGTTGGCAAGATGGCGCCGGTGGGGGTGGAGAAGAAGCTACTGCTGGGCACCAACGGGCCTGCGGTGGCGGCCGCCGGCGACATGACCAGTGAGGAAGAGGAGGGCCAGAGTCTATGGTGAGGCCTCGGGCGGGCGGCCGGGCGGGGAGCTGGCCGGTCCGGGCCGGTCCAGGGCTGACCGCTCTTGCCATTGTCGCCGCAGGTCTTCTATCCTGAGCGAAGTGTCCACCCGCGCCAGGTCCAAGCTGCCGTCCGGCAAGAATATCCTGGTCTTCGGTGAGCGCCGGCAGCGGGGCGTTGCCACGGCGCGCTGGGGTGGGCGAGGTGGGAGCCCCTCCCACAGGCCCTGGCCTTCCCCTCCCTTGCCGACTGCCGCAGCCTGCCCCGCTCGGAGGGCACTGGGGACCCTGGCCGGGCAGCAGGCCAGTGGCCAAGCCCCCCGCGCTGAGGGTGGGGTGCTGCCCCTGTTGGAGAGCCCAGTAGTGTTGCATGGGATTGTTGGCACATTCCTCCAGTCACTTGGCTGCAGCATCGGCCTTGCTTCAGATGTCTCAGGCTCCCTGCGCCCGTAACCTCGATGTTCACCAAATTGAGGGCGTGGAGAGGGGAGTGAGTAGATGAGAAGGTCAGGTGGAGAAGGCGGGAGAAGGAGGTGACCTGGGCTGGGAGCTGTGGGGAGATGCCGCGAGGGCCTTCCTTTATTCTCATGAGTAGGGCGCAGTAGGAGGTTTTAGGGACTTTGCTAAGGACAGCAGGCCTGGGAACCAGCACCGGGAACTTTGCCGCATTACTCTAGTCCTCACAACTGGGTTACCTGAGTCCCTTAACCTGTCTAGCCTCAGTTTCCTCATACAAGTGAGGGAGTTTGGGTGCATTCACACAGCAAGCCCATTTTGAGTGGGAACTGTGGGCTGGGCACTGGGACGGCACAGACATCCTTTAGACACTACACAAGAATCTCAGTCTAGTGGTGATCGCTCTACCCCATGCTGTGCATGGGCAGGTTATTGGGGGAGCATCACATTGCTTGGTGCTGTTGAAAGAGTAATTTGGGGGTTGGGTGTTTTGAAGGATTAGTGTCAACATGCACAGGCACAGAGGTGACAAGAAGGTTTGGGGTTTGGAAAATGCTAGCAGCTCCTGCTAAGGTAAATTGGGGGCAGATTGTGAAAGGCTGAAGTGTTAATGCTGTTTCCCGAAAGCCTTTTTAATCTCACCTCCATCCCCCAGTCCTCATGGGAATCTACTTGGGTGGTTTTCCTGCTGTTTCTGAAGGGAGCATGTGGTCCTCCTCACATGATCACACCACAGTAGGTAATAGGGGACTCTTAGAGATGTTCAAGAAGTGGGGGATCAAAATCACCAGACCTGTATTTTAGAAAGATAACTCTGACTGCAGAGTGGCATATAGCTCAAAATGAGCAGGTTCTGAAGTCAGGCTGACAAGCTTTCATCGTGGTCCAGAGGGGATGCAGAGGGCCTGAATAAAGCTGTGGCATTGGAGATGGAGAAGGGGTCTTTGATCTGTGGGATGCCTTTCAATTCTCACGTTCTGTAATTCCGTATTATTAAATCCCAGGAGTGCCTAGTGATGTTTATTGGTGGTGGTTCTCTTTGATGTTTTGGGTTGGGGGGTGGTGTTAGTTGGGTGGAGGGAGATAAGGAAGTGCTTGGTAATTACAGAGATTGTATTTAAGAATTTTATTTAGGTCTGTAATTATTTTTTTCAGTTTCCCAGCTTTATGAAGGAGATGTATTAAAATCAAAAGTGAATAATAACTTCCATTCTTCACAATTGTGAAGCAGGGTTAGACTTTCTTTAGTTCACAGTTCCTGGACTTTAAGGTTAATCGTATTTTGAAGATTTCTTGCTTTTCTTGTGGTAAAAGTTTATTTTGTGAGAAACTAACCCCACCTTTTACTTTCACTTCTCCTTATAAATTGTAGATAGGGTCTGTGGACCTGCCTTATTCCTTTCCTTGTGAAGTAAGGATAACTGCAGTGGAATGTCATTTTTAGATCTTGGAATTTGCTGCCTTTACTCCCTCCTTCTTCCCCCATCCCCCCAATCACTCTTATAGCAAAGTCTGCTTTGTGTATGAAAGCAGATGGGACCTCAACAGCAGACTTTCTGTGGAATTCTTAGTTGTTTCTTATGCAAATGTCATGACTCCCATCTGTGCCCAGAATAAACAGTACACCTTTGTCTTCTGGCAAACATCATTTGTAGGTGAAGATGGTTCTGGTAAAACAACACTCATGACTAAACTACAAGGAGCTGAGCATGGCAAAAAAGGAAGAGGCCTAGAGTATCTCTACCTCAGCATCCATGATGAAGACCGAGATGGTGAGTAAAGCATTGATCAGTGGTTAAGCGGGTTCTTCTGCATAGAACTCTGACTTTTTGGTTGTGGCTCCTACAGCATGTCCAGGCATTCTCAATTTTCTGTTTGATTCTAAGAGAATTAGTCACAAAGTAATAGATGAAATGTATGTCTTTCGCAGGACTCTGCCCACTTTATAGAGTATGTTAGCAAAAATGGGGAATGGGACTGTTAGCTGCTGCTCTGACTAGTCTGCACTTAAAAGGAGATACTGAAGGTAAAGTTTCATATACACATAAAGGTAGTAACAGAGATTTTTAAAAGCTTTGAAGTTTTCTGTGAGAGAAATGCTTGGCAGACTGGTCTGGGTACCATTGTTACTCTGCCTGGTTCTAGTGGAGAATCTGAAATTGGTGTGGCTCAGAGTATAACAATTAACATAAGTTCACTGGAGAGTTATCTGAATTTCTTTGTGACAGTTTAGAAATGATAATTCCCTGTGTTTCTTCTGGAGGAGAGAATAGAGGCTCAGGGATGAAAAAGTTCTTTAATTCCTCATCTCTGAAATGTGGATAGTAATAGTTTCTACCTATACAGTAGTTATGGTGATTAAAAGCATATGGTATTCTGGGGCATAATGGGGACTGAGAAAAGAAGTAACAATAAAAGTACATAGTAAACACTATGAAGATTAGATACATTTTAAAATTCTTTCTTATAAGAATAACTGAATTGGATTGGAGTAATGGTTTTTGGTTATAACTACTCAGGAATGCCTCCTTTATAATCTTTTAGCTTATATGTTAGACCTTTTGAATGACTGTAAAATAAATAGTTGTTGGTGCCTGGGTCTTTTTTTATTATAGGAAAGTTATCTAGGTAGCCTAAAGATAAAATGTATTGGTTAAATTCCTTTCTTTATATTTGCTTTTACCAATGTAAACAGTAAGGCTCATGATGAAAAGGTGATTATATAACGGGGGCTAATCCTACCATCTCTGGTCCCCCATTTCCATATTACTAAAATGAAGAATCTGTACCAAGGTTATTTCCAGCATATAATTCTGCCATCTCCAGGAGCTGTTTAGTAGAGGGCATGGGTAAGGGTCTCTTGTTAAAGCTTGGAAACCTGCATTGTATTAATGTTAATTTAGTGGTCATCTTAGAACCCCAGGGATTTTACTCCTGCTCCCCTCCCCTGGCTTCTTTTGTCACACTGAAGTTCCCTCCCTGAAGGATGTGAAAGGAAGGCAGGAGGTAGACCCAGTGCCAAGGGCTCTGTCTTGTGTGAGGACAGAGACATTCGGGTACCCATTTATACCCATTGGATTCTGCGCATGTAGGGCTGGGACTCAGGCCACTGAGCCAGGCCTAGACAACCTCATATGTATGTGTCTTTTGCTTCCTGTCTTTGTTGGGCAGCATGGTTATTGTGGAAAGAACTTGGGCTTTAGAGCCAGACAAAACTAGTTCAGAATGCCACTCAGGAGTTGTGTGGCCTTAACCACTCTGCACTTCAGTTTCCTCATTTGTAGAATGGGGTAATGGTACCTATTCTGCACATTGCCAGAATGAGAGATGGTGTGTGTCAGGCATAACAGAGTGCTTGAGACACTGATAGTTCTAGTATACTTTTGCCTTGTTCCTTTTGAAAGTTCAAGACATGCTGTAGGTATTCTGTGAAGCTCCATAGCCTCGCCTCTGTTTTAAGATGGCATAAGCATATTTCATTCCAAAGCATCATGTTAACCATATTTACTTGCCTTTGAGTTTAAATATGTGTTAATTTCTCTTTCAGATTCTTTTTTTTTTTTTTTTTCCTTTTTGTCTTTTTTCGTGACCGGCAACGGATCGCAACCCTCAGTGTCGCACCCGTACCGGACTGGGACCGGGACGGGCAACGGGATCGCAGCCCTCGGTGTTGCACCCGCACCTCGCTCAGCCAGTGAGCGGCCGGTCTGTATGTGGGATCCGAACCCTTGGCGGGAGCGCCACCGCGCTCCCAAGCGGCACACTGTAGCAGTGCGCCACCGGGCCGGCCCCTCTTTCAGATTCTTTTAAGGTTACCTTAAAATCTTCTTGGTCTCTGCATTTATGGGATTTTTTTTTTTTAGGCTGCCTACTTCCCGAGTTCCTATTTGATGGAACAGTTGCTGTTATCGGTGGTTAATTATATATCTTTCAGCCCTATTCTCTTTTATTGTGTGCTGTGGCTGGATTATAAATATATACTTTGTAGGCAATCATTCAGGTAGAGAAAATAGTCTCTGGTTAGTACTTGGTTTGTGGTGGGACATAACATATGAAAGGACCTCTGCCCCCAAGATTGGGGGCATTCATCTAATGCAACGTGTGGTATGTGGGATCTGCAAGGACACGAGTGAGCTATATGTAGTGGCCAGTGGGGAGAGAAGCTGAGAAAAGGAACCATGCCTTGTGACAGGAGCGCCGCCGCGCTTCCCAAGCGGCGCACTATCCAGTGCGCCACCAGGCCGGCCCCACAGCGGTATTTTTGAAGGCATTCAGAGAACCCAAACTAAAATCACCGTCTAATATTAGAGTTTGAAAGTATAGCTAGATTTAAATACGTTTTATATTAATGACTTTATATTTTTTACAGCATGTTAATGAATTGATTTTACAAAAAAAGTAGCTAAGGGTAAATAGGTTTTTTTTTTT